ACTTACCTCCTAACAGCAAGTCAGCTATAAGCCCCCATAACCCAATCACCTTCCAGAAGCCCCACCTATGAGTGCATGAGGCTTTTGGGATACATCTAGATGTAAACCACAACACATGTGCATGTTCTAACTTTATAAGAAAATGTCACTGTGCTCTTCTTTTTGGGTCTTTCAATCTGTGTTCCCCTCAGCAGCAAAGGTGGCCTTTTTAAAAGGCCATGCAATCCCATCAGGACTTACATTCCTACCTCATCGTGAGTTTTTAAACACTTACCTATTTGAAGGGTGTGAAATATTACTCATTTTAATTAGCAGTTCTCTGATTACCTGTGGGATTGAGAATGTTTTCTGTAATATGGCTGCAAGTGGCCTGCTTGCCTCTACTGTTGGATATTGTGATAGAATAAAAAACACATGTTTGGTCTCTGCCCCTGGCTCCTGACAGCCACTTGGAGACAGGGGTTCTAGGAGAATATTTTCTTTTAATATTTGGCTTTTGACTCAGGTTCCTGATACAGCTCCTAAATCTTTTGTAATTTCCCGTGTGATAGAAGCATCTTTTCTTTGAATGAGGCAGCTCTTGGGATTCTGAAAGGCCTCAGAACAGGGATGTTTGCCAGGGGAACTGAACATGTGACGAAAGGTGTTAAAATTGTCAAAATCAACATGGAGTTCCCAGTGTCAACCTCAACAAAAATAAACAGGTAAAGAAATAAAACAGCAGTTAGAAAGGAAGGGCTCTTATGCATGACTATCTGATAGTAACACGAGTCTGCCAGGACCACAACTTGACACAAAGGCCACTGCAACCTTATGCGACAAGTACGTCTGCTCAGCAGCTCTGTTTAAGCTTGGACCGACATCACTTGGATCTTTCTCAGTATTAATCATTGTGGCAAAGGACTATTATTTCAAAATATGTGATGTGGTTCTCTTCATTTTTGTCGTAAAACTTTCTCTTAGCCAGGTGTAGTGGTGCGCACCTGTAATCCCAGCACTTTGGGAGGCTGAGGCAGGAGGATTGCAAGTTCAAATTCTGCTTGGGCAACTGTGTGAGGCCCTATCTCAAAATAAAAAAAAAAAGGGGGACTGGGGATGTGGCTCAATAGTAGAGCGCCCCTGAGTTTAATTCCCACTACTACAAAAAGACAGATTAAAAAAAAAAAATTCCCCTTTACTATGGCATGCGTGTTCCCATTGTAGTGCTATTCTATTCAAATAAATATAAATATTGTTATTCTTCGGAGAATAGCTCTGACTTTTTCTTCTAGCTTGACAGAGGGTTGGAACTTTTAGCCTCAACCCTCCAACCTCCGGGGAAGGGAAAGGGACTGAAAGTTAAGTTGATCATCAATGGCCCAAATTCAACCAATCATTCTACATAACAAAGCATCCATAACTCCCCAAAAGCCTGTGTGGAGGCTGTCCAGAGAGCTGAACTCGTGGAGTTGCCTGGAGGCTGCTGCGCCCAGGAGGGAGCGCCAGCCCTCTGCCGCTCCCCCATCTGCACCTGTGCATCGCTGTCGCCCGCTTCTGCAGCTGTATTTTGGGTCATATGTATGTATTTCTGTGGTACTGGGGACTGAACCCAGGGCCTTTGCACTGTTACATCCCTAGCTTTTTAAAAGCATTTTAAATTTTGAGACAGTCTTACTACATCACTAAATTGCCCAGGTTAGGCATGAATGTTCAGTTTTTCTGCCTCCGCCTCCCAGAATGCGGGGATTACAAGTGTGTGCCATGACACATGACTTGCAATATTCTTTATAATAAACAAGTAAATGTAAGTATTTCCCTGAGTTCTGTGAGCTGTCCTAGACAATTCATTGAATCCCAGGAGAAGGCTGTGGGAACCCTAATCTATAGCCAGTTGGTCAGAATTATGGGTGACCATCTACTTGTGAGTGGCATCTGAAGCAGGGGCAGTCTTGTGGCACTGACTGCTTAACCTGTGGGATCTGATGCTAACTCCAGGTAGTGTCATCCGACACCCCCAGGAGAACTGCTTTGCGTGCTGTGGGTGCACAGCTGGCGTCAGTGTTAGGTGTTGTACTGAGTTTGAAGGTAGGGAGAAAAAAATTCTTTTCTTCCCAGCAGACATGGGCACTTTCAATCTGTGCTCCTCCTATCAGCTGAGCCAGCTACAGATTCTTCTACAACTGCCTGAAGAGCTGGGGACAATTAATTTGTGCTAGGCATGCAGATATTCACTCATACACACAGAGGATATAAGCCACCAGACCGCTATTCACAAACAGAAGCAGAAAATGGGATTTACAAGAGAGAGGAAGTGAAAAAAACTCCAGGCTGGGGCCCATTGAGATCAGTCTCATTAACACTTGTCGGGTCCACTGAACAGGCCAACCTTGAGCAGTCTGGCTCCTGCCATCAAAAAAGGTAACTCTAGCTGCATGTGGCTTCTCTGGAGCACGTTGAGGGCTTGGCTGAACTGACCTGACAGGCTGATTGGGGTCACCTAGGACAATAGCCTTCTTTCTGTACGCAGCCCTTCCTTCAGTAGAGCTGTGCTATTTCCCTGTCACAATTCTCTCAGCTTCCTTCAAGCACGTTGGAAGCACCTGATGTGATCTGAGCAGTACCTGCGTGTTGTGTTTTCCGTAGCCAGCACTGAAAACAACTGCCTCGGCGTCCCAACACCACGGGTAGTTTCCCATCTGCAGACTTTGCCTCCCTCCTCAGCGTATGGGACAATGTCTGGAGGCGTGCTTGGTTGTCACAATGGTAGGGGTGCTACTGGCATCTTTTGAGTAGAGGCCAGTGATGCTGCTAACCACCCTACAATATATAGGCCATTCCTCTGCCCCGCAACAGAGAATGCTCTGCCCAAACCATCAGTGATGCAGAGGCTGAGAAGCCCCAGTTGGCTTCTTGCAGCTGCCTGTACCAATGCACAGGGGCAATCGCTATCTTAGCTGCTTGGCTGCCTCCCTTGAGCCCACAGTGCAATCCCCAAGGGCAGAGAGGATGGTGTAGCCAACTGGATGAAGGGGACTCAAATATTTGCTGAATAAATAAGTCATCAGTGCCCCAAGGGACACCTGGGAAGAAAAACGGGGAAGGAGGATAAGTCATCCAGAAGGTGACACATCAATTTGAGAGCTGACAGGGAAAACGTTCTCCCTATTTGAGTGTTAAACCCCAGACTCCCTTGGTGCTTTTTAAAGACAGGGAGTAAATACTGATCCTGACTACTGACCGTGTAGCCAGCCCCGTGTTTTACAGGCACTACTTGGCATGGCCCTCATCATGACCTCATGGTGGGGTTGTATTAGCACTCACCTTGAGGAAGGGAGGACAAGCTACAGGTGAAAGTAACTCTCCCACAGGTGACAAAGCCAGCAAGGGGTGGGACCACATGATGCTTTCGTTTGGGAAAATGCGTGGAGCCTGCAGTAAACAGAAATACTCACTTCCAGAGAGCTAAGCCCCTGTTGCAGGACAGCTTTGTTTTGCATGTGGTGGAGTCACGTTTACTAAAGATTTGCAATTCTAGTCATGTGTCACCTCAGGGGCAAGTGAATTCTGACTTTGTCTGCAACAACCTAAGCACAAATTGCAACTTCAGTAATAAAATGAGAGCTTGGAAAACTAAACACCTGGGGCTGATGAGAGTAATGCATTTGTCTCGGGGCAGGGGCTGAATGAGGAGCTAAGCGTTTTGAGGGAGAAATGCGTCAAGACTAAATCTTTTCGCCAACCTTTGATGGATGTGCTAATCTTCTCGGGTCAACACAGCTCACCCTGGCAATGCACTGTAATAAGTTATTTAAGAGGCAGCAGCTTTTTATAAATGGACTATTCCACCAATTTTTTGATTTCCATTCTCAGAAATGGATTCCTTATCAAAACAATATTTGCTGTATAGAGTCCCAGCTCCATCGTGCCTTTTCTGTAACAGACTGCAGAGGTGACTGGGCTCGGGAACTATTCTTTGCTTTCAATTCTGCATGACATTAATGCTCTGTAGAGAAAACAAGATAACGATAACATCAGACAGGCGATTTTCATTCCATGAGAGCAGCAGTACCAGCAGACCACGCCTTTTTTCTCCCTCGGCTCTGAGAGCTGGACCCAGAGGTGCTCTACCACTGAACTATATCCCCAGCCTATTTCATTCTTTATTTTGCTAAGTTGCCCAAGCTGGGCTCCACTACACCTGTTTTTCCGAATAAAGTTTTATTGGAATACAGTTTGTTTTGTCACTGTCTCTGACTGCGTTCACACCATGAGGGCATGTGCAGCACAGACTCTGTGGTCTGCAGAACCAGAAGTGCTTATTCTCAGGCCCTGTACCAAGCACGCAAGCCAAGCTCTGCATTAGGCGTTAAAAAGAAGTGATACTTGTCTCATTGCGTGCTTGTCTCATTTTCAGCGGGGGCTGAAGGAGCTACAGTCAGAGGGAACATCTGGCTGAAGGCCTTTGTGAACTTCAGGTGGGTTAAAGAAGAAAATATAAAAACACAAAACATTTCATTTTGTCAGGAGAAAGTTTCTCATGTTGGCAATGGTAGATACCCTGCCGACTTCCAAGTGGCGGATATAGGACACCCACCCCGTTACAGTGTACATCTAAAATGTCCCCCAGAAGCCTCACGTAGTCAGAGGTGAGGTGGGGCTTTTGGAAGGTGACTGGATCACGGGGGCTCTGCACTCACCAATGGATTCATCTCCTGATGCATTCCCAAGCTATTATGGGGTGGGGACTGGTTGCAGGGATGGGTCACTGGGGGCATGACCTGCAAGAGCCCCGTTCCTCTCTCCTTTTCTCTCTGCCTCCTGGCTGCCATGGGCTGAGCAGTTTTCCTCCACCACGTCTTCCTACCATGCTGTTTGTGCCATAGACTGAACACTCCCAAGTCATACACCAAAACAGGTAGTAGGTGTCAGGTATTTTGTCCCAGTGACAGGAGAGCTAATATAGAGTACACAGCTCCTGAGAGGCCCACTGGGCCAGTGCTGAACGTGCTTATATCTCAGTATAAGGTCTCTTTCCCTGAGAAATGCACAGGAGAGATGAAGAGTTTATTTCCAAAAGGAAGCGGGTGAGGCTGGGGACTGTTTGGGAAGCATGCCCTGGGGGCCCGGTGCCAGGACTCAGAACTTCAGGGGAATGACAGGCCAGTACTTGGGCTGCTTTCTGTCACAGTGCTTGTCAAAGCTCAGCTGCACTGCAGTCTCCATGGCCATGATCTTGGCGGCACTGTCCCCATACAAGCGTTTCATCTCAGCCTGGCGCCGCTCACCCGGCCTCTCGGTTGGGGGCTCTGCGGTCCGGCGGTTGTTGTAGTACAGGTCATGGTCGGCGTTCACATACTCATCCAGGCGCTCTGCTTCCAGCTGCTGCTGCCTCCCTGGGAACAGAGAGGAACACGAGCTCGCACACACATACAGGAGGTATGTGCCACCACCACCCTGCCCGGGGCCCCCACAGTCCCTTGGCTTTCCATTAGACACAACTGTGCCAGTAGAGAGGGATCCTGAGGCATGACCTGGCAAGGAACCAGGGCCTTCAAGGCACCAGACCTCTGCCACATGCCCTGGAAATACAGGAAAAAAAATGAAGCCACCTGGGTTTCTCTCATCTGCCTAGCTGCCCTCAACCTGCCCAGCCAGAGAAGGCCAACAGGGAGGACCAGGCCAGCGTGGGAATGAATAGCTCCCTGCAAAGTCGAGAGTTGAAAGAAGTACTTCCCAACACAAATGAGGTAGTGGAGAAAAAAAGTCATCTCTCTGAAAGAGGTGCTGACTCTAGGTAAGCTAGAAAAGAAGAAGCTTTAGTAAGTATACACGGCAACAATCACTGACGAGGCCTTCACATGACACAAATCATACCAGGAGCAACAGGTTAAATGATTAAACGCTTGCTAAGGCAAACAGGCGAAGAAATGGCAGCTGTACCCATGGACTGGAGAACTCCTGACTTCTGATCTGTCTGCGTTCTGTGGCACTGAATTCGCCACTTTACAGGTTAGCCTAGATGACACTGCAAGTTTCACACATCCAGTTAGACACTTTTAACATGTGCACAATGGGGCCATAATTTGTCTGTTTCGCTCTGGGTGGCTCGTACTATCTGATACGATTGTTCCATGCCGCCTAATGACCAGTCATGCATGTACCACTGGTGCTATAAGTTAGTGGGAACATGTTAGTTCTATTAATTTCAATGAATTCTTGGCTGGGGATATAGCTCGGGACTAGAGCACTCGCCTGGCATGCAGGAGGTCCTAGGTTTAATCCCCAGTGCTAGGGGAGTAAATAAGATTCCTGTAAAGTACGAAATATTTATGAACTTATTTTCCCTCTCTCCTTTTTTTTTTTTTTACTATAGCAAGTCCCAATATCATAATTTTTATTGTTATGGAAATCACAACATAAAAGTGTCAACAAAACAATGCTGCATAAGGTAAAATTTAGCCAACTCACACAGGTTCTGTAAGTGACTGTCAAGAGGGAAATTGATAGCAGAGGGTACATTATCTGCAGCTACTATTGCTACCAAGAGAAATGCCACTAGATAAGGAGTAAGGATGGCTGTAGGGGAACAAAACAATGACATAAATCATTCTTTCCTGGCTGGTTCCCTCTCCCCTAGTACCTGGCAGGGAACACAGCAGTACACTAATCAAGTGTGAAGGGAGAGATATTTATGTGACTATGTGTAGTCACTCTCATAAATTCTACTCTTTATAAATATCACCTTGGAGATGGAGGGAAGGCATTTTACAAACTCAGATACATTATTAGAAAATAGATATGCCCAAGTATGGGTGGTCAGTGCTCTCCCAGACCATGTGCAATTTAATTTTGCATATGGAAGTAATATATAATAAGCCAAATGACTGTCAAACAAAATTAATATCCCCAAATTGTTATCTTACCCATGGAAAAAGAGGGATGGCTGATTTACTGTGAAATGCAGAACAAAGCCAAAATATTGGCTTAACATGTTCCTGCTGGCTTGAACCACCAGCGGTATATGCATAACTGTCCCGTCAGGCAGCTTTTACGACTGGAAGGCACTGTCCTGTGTTCCCTGATGGGACAGTCATGTCTGTACCATTGGTGGTTCAGGGCCGCCTGGCAGCAAGACATATGAATTATGGCCCCATCATGAATGTGTTCATATGCAAAGGCACTGCGGGCCAACAAGCATTTGCTTCTCAGTTTTGATTTTTCTGCCAGGTTTGAAACATCAATATTGAATCTGTTTGGTTCTCACAGTTGTTTAAATTCTATATCCTGCTGGGGGTGTGTGTGCCTGTAATCCCTGCACTTGGAAGGCTGAGGCAGGAGGATCACAGCAAGTCTGAGGCCAGTATGGGCTACAGAATGAGTTCAAAGCGAGATCTTATCTCAGAAAAAAAAATTCTTTCTTGTTCCAAACTGAGTTCTGTTGCAGCAGTGTGGGAGTAGAGGAACTGGGTCCTAACTGGCCAGAGAAAATGAACATTTCCAGACATTTCTCTGAGTTCTAGTTAATGATCAAGGAGAGAAAAGAAGTATTAAACACTGGGTCGGAGGAGAGCCCTCAATGGCTGCAACATCTGCCTATTTCCATAAGACCCCTTTGTGCACCTGGGGTGGAAGCTGGTGGAAGCCTGGCTGGCGCCTAGCCCCTCGGACCACAGCCCTGCTCTTCTGCTAGGCCTCAGGCGGAAGAGGAAAGGCGGCCCCGGATACTGACGTGCAGCTACAGACTGGTAAGGTGTGTCCGGTTTCTAAGCGCATGTGCAGGCCTTTTGTACTCAGGCCTCCTAAAACTGTTCCTCCTAAAACTGTTCCTCCCTAGGAACAGCACTTCCAGAAAGCCCTGGCCAGGCAGGGTGTGAGGCTGCTGGCTGGGCTGTGGCCTTTCTATTAAAGGTGGAATGTGACAGAATGGTCTCGTATTCGAATCTTTCCCAAGACTGTAATTGATTCACAGACAGATTCGGTGGCACCCCAGACGTTCAACTTCTCGTCTAAACCTGAGTCCTGAGTTTAGAAGTTTTAACAAACACCAGGATCTTAGCTCTCTTAATAGTGCTGTATCCTGCCATCAGGGTGTGTGAATTTAGCCCCTTTACTTGTTTATCTTTTCCTTAAGAAAACATTTCAGATGTTTCAAATTATGCTCCTTTTTGTTACTTTTCTGGCAAAAAGCCTATTTAACAGCTATTAAGTAGGCATAAGGATTAGATGTGGAGGGATGCTTTCTCTTCATGTGGACATCTGCTGATGAAACATGGGAACAGCACACAAGCGCACGTGGCAGCCAAGGAAGCCCAGGCCATGTTCCAAGTTCAAGGGCGGCATTTGCTTACTAGTCACCATCACAGGATCCTAGTTCTCCATAAGAGTCATACAGTGTAAAGTGGGCCTGGTGCTACAGCTACATGCTGATAATGCCAACACTCTGAGAGGCCAAGGCAAGAGGATGCAAAGTATGAGCCCAGCCTGGGCAACTCAGTGAAAGCCTGTCTCGAAATAAATAAAATGTAGCCCTGGGTTCAATTTCCAGTACCACCAAAAACCAAACCAAACCAAAAACACACCATGTAAGATAGAGTAACAGTCAAAGAATTAATGACACAGCCCTCTGCTCTTGACTCTCTACCTGGATTTCCTTCTCATTCAGGTTTCCTCATGAGAACTTAAGGCCCAATCCTGGTCCACTCCCTACCTCTCAGGTGTTGCTCTAAAACACTGACCCAGCATGTGAGAACTCTCACGGACCACACGCTGACAGATCTACTGGCACCTATGCCAAGCTCTGAGGGCCACCTACGGTGGAAGAGCACCGTCTCCTTCCCTCACCGCTGTATCCCCAGCCTTGGAGGCCACTATGCCTGACACAAAGCAAGTGCTCGAGAAATGACAGTGCAATGAACGCTCAAAGGTCACACATTATCTTTTGTAAATAATGCTTCTAGACACCGTCAAAGAAAAATGATGACAACCCAGTGAGAGAAACAGATGCCCCAGTCTCACAGGGCTCTGGGCAAGGCTCCCCGCCCTTGGGTTCCTCAGAGCCCCCATGGCACAAGGCTTGGGGTAAAGGGAGGGGAGCAGAGAGGCACCCATGAGTTGGGGTTAGGCTCTGTTCCCTTAAAGTCACTTCACCTCTACTTTAAGAAAAAAGTTCTAGGGCTACCTTACAGATCAGAAAAACAGTCAACTTCAAATAAAATACACTCAGACTTGCCAGGGAGAGTGGCGCATGCCTGTAATCCCAGCACTTGACAGGCTGAGGCCGGAAGACTGCAGTGAGTTTGAGGCCAGCCTGAACTGCATAGGGAATCCCTGTTTCAAAAAAAAAAGGGAAATACACAAACATACTCAGACTGGCTGCGTGCTGACGGTCACAACATCTGAAAGCACTTTAGTACATACTAACTTGGAGGACCCAGTAAACCTTGAATGGAAGGACCATCCCTGTTTGGAGGCCTCCGTTTATTCTGGTTTCTATTCATTGCTTCCTTCCTCTCTAGCAGGGACAGAAAGGGTTCTCAGTCACTGGCCCTGTCATGTCAAGGTGAGGGCTCAGCCAACCAGACAGAGACCCTTCCGGGCGAAGCTGAGAAGTACAGGTGTTTCGTCGTGGACAGGTGGGCCAGCTTTACTGGAAACAGCTGTAGGACTCACTGCTACCACTTTTTTTCCTGTAGGGCATCTGGCTAAGAGAATTTGTTTTACTACAAATCAGAAATACCTTTGGATCCCATTCTAGCTTTAACATGGGCTTGCTGTGGGGTTGAATAGTGTCCCCCTAACTTGATGCCCATCCAGAACCCAGGGCATGACCTTATTTGGAAATAGGGTCTTGCAGATCTAATTACCAATGAAGATGAGATCATATGGGATGAGGGTGCTGCTGATACACCAGAAATAAGGCATTCTTGATCTAATCACATTTGTGTTTCCCCTCAGCTGTGCCCATTAAATATAGTGCACGTCCTTCCTTAGATGACACAGAGAAAGACACACAGACATGGTGAGGAAGCCACGTGAAGACAGGGGCAGAGACTGGAGCGATGCTGAACAAACCAAGGAACACAAGGGACTCCAGAAGCTGGGAGAAGTGAGGCCCTGGAGCCTAGTGAAGGAAGGTGTCCCCGCTGACATCTTGATTTTTGACTTGTAGAACTGTGTTGATTTAAGCCACCAAGTTTATCGTAATTTGTTATAGCAGCCCTAGGAAACGAGTAAGAGGATTAATATGCAGAGAGGATTAAAACAAGACAAAATAGTAAGATTATTAAGGAATAGTAACATTATTAGATTATTAATAGTAAGATTATTAAAACAGTAAGATTATTAAGGATATGAAGCAAAACTTTAGTGGACTTCATCTAGGTTTAGGATGAAT